ATATATATTAACATAAAAAACAAAAATAGACAATTCAATAAATAGAATTGTCGGCATAAAATAAATTAAAAATGTTTAAATGTTTCAAATACAAAATAAACCTGTAAAAACAAATTTGATAAAGTACAAATGAAAATATAGCCTTTTTAAACTTTCGCATGGTAGAACCAGAGGCTGCTGTTCATATTAGTGACTAACAATAACATTAACAACAGCTTTTTGACAAGTTTAAAGTTTCTTTAAAATACATTAAAATATTAAAAAATAAACTACAAAAATAATTTGATAAAGTGCAAATTAAAATATAGCAGTATCTGCAACTGTATTTGATTGTTTTGAACTTTTAAAATACTGCATGATAGAACTAGAAGCTGTACTTTGTATTAGTGACAAACTTTGGCCTTTTTTGACAGGTTGTCTTCATTTTTGCTTCTACTTGTCATTTAAAATAGGTTTCCATTTTTGGCAGGTATTTGAGATTCTTCTTCTACATCTTAAAAAACGTTGTTAAACATTTGGATTGCGCACTACCGCCACTAGTGGTGCGAAAGTGTATTGCACCTTATTCAAAATCAATGCTGTCCCACGGCCCTCTGCGGCCCAAAGTTAAAAAAAACTGTTGTTCTTTTGAGGCCCTCAAGGCGACGCTCACGGCACATAGGTTAAGAATCTCTGGCCTAGCACACCTGAGTGACATAGAAGACTTCTGAGATTTACAGCAAACTCAGTGCTTTTTATTTTGGTTACAAAACCTCTATGGATCATTATAATGAGCTGCATCTCTTTATACAGCACTGCTATGTTGTTGATGAGTCATGCTCTTATGTCTGAAAATGAAGGCTAGGACTGCAAGCAGACTTTAAAAAACTATATTCCTCTTTAGAGGAAAAACTGAATTTTTTTATGGATGATTGAAAAAGATTCTCTGCCTTTACTTGAGTCACAGCCTAAGGAAATTGTATGACTTTTTCATGTATTTGTAAATATTTAACTACCCAGTTTTAAAAAAAACACTCACATTAAAGCTTACTGAAGGACTAACAAACATAATTTAGCCTAAACATGGGGTTATTTAGTTCTGGCAGTGTAACAGTTAAACAAAGCTCATGCCAGACTAGTTACATTATTTCTACTAATTAGAGGCACTGAAAAGACTCACATTGTGGTCGTACGACACATTATAAATTTACCTTCACAGCGAGGTATAGGGTGATTCCAGTTTCTGCTGACTCCATGTAAACATGTGAGGGATGGTTCTCCGAGAAGAGTGTAACCAGACAGGCACTCGAAAGACACAGTCATCCCCACGCTGTAGTCCTGACCGATCACTATGCCGTTACGAAACGGCCGCGGGTCAGGACACCTCTGCAACTCATATGCTGTGGGAAAAATTCAAATCCATACACAGAAAATCCAGTAAGCATATTATTGTTAAGAGAACACAACATTAAAGAATACAGGTTTAAATTTTTATTCAAAGTCACCAAGTTATCATTCAGAAAGCCTGTCCAATTTGAGCATGATTTGGTCCACATACAGACAAGGAATTGTTATGTAAATGAACTGGCTTCCAAAGGAGCAGATGGCAAGAGTGAAAGTATCATCAGTGAAGTAATAGTATTATCAGGCAGTTGAAGAGTAAGGCTGGACAATAAAACAATATGTCACCATAGACATATTATCAACATCAATACTTCTGATAGAATGTTGATAATTTCACTGAACTGCAATGGACAACTGCCTGGCATTCTGAGGTATGTAGGCAGAGGAAAGGCTTTAGCCACTCAACCTCTCACTGCCCAGCTAAGCATGGTTGGTGGCATCAACTAACATTTTGGTAATCTAGCAACAACCTTCTGGAAAAAAAAAAGCAATGTGGAGTGAAAGAAGAAAATGTGTGCAAAAGCTCGAGAGAAAATTGTGGATAAAAATATGAGAGGTCACGTCACCAGTTTTGTATTATTAATCAGCCTTTTTTCACCTGGTCCTTACTTAAAGGTAAAAAAAAAGCTAATCAATAATTAATGATATACTGATATGAAACACTTATATTGTGAAAAAAGTTAAGCAGATCCTCTGAATGAGTTCTTTGTTGAAAAACAGAAAAAAAATGTTTCATCTCTTCTCCAAGAGACTTTTTCAGCCTGACGTTAGGGCCTCATGTGAACAACCAGTTTTGATTGTCATTGTTAAACTTCTTTGTCCATCATGGGGAAGTGCTGCTTATAGGGCTAAAGAAGTCTCTTGGAGAAGAGACAAAACTTTTTTTCGACAATGAAGAACTTGCTCAGAGGACCTATTCAACAATTTTTAGATTTTTTATTTGGATTTTTGAGATGCATTAGCTTATATTGCATGTCAATACATTTTTCAGCCACATTGCCCAACTCTATTACAGAATGTCCAACTGTCAGTCAAAACAAATAGTAAATATGATGATTCCTCATGGATACATTAGACAACATTATTAGAACTTGACAAAGTTTGTTGGTGGTCACAGTATGGGTTTGCATGAGGTGATTGTATCATGCTACTGCTTAGTATGTGGGGCAAACAGTACAGTGGCCTATTCGAGGTTTCCACACACATCAGGAAGATTCCAGTCATCCAAGACAGATCACACAAGGGAGAGTTGCTGCATTGTGCACAGAGTATTACAAAACTCCATGACATCTGTATCCAACATCCAGACACTCATTACAACATCCATGTCATCCCACAACAGTGTCCTACAATTGGCCTCAGCCAGCCTATCAATCCACTCTCCTATTCACAGAATGCCATTACTACCACAGCAGGGATGGCTCCAGTTTGAATGGGGCTCTATCTGGAACTGTGTTCTGGAGAGACACACAACTCCTGAGACCACATTGTAAGAAGATATACGCTCTGGTCACCTCTGGCAGTTATTTATGGGACCCCAGTGGCACAGCAGTACATCAGTGACATCCTGCATTGCCATGTCTTACTCCTCTTGAGACAACACCCTGCTGTGGTCTTTCAACAAGACAACACCCGTCCACACGTGACATGTATATTTATTGCGTGAGGCCAGCAAGATTCCCCAATCTTCTCTCAATGTGTGGGGTTAGCTCTGGTGTCAACGCTCTCAGTGCTGATCTGCAGGATCTTGAGTGTTACATCAGATATAACAATGAGGTGCCACACCTTGTTGACATGGGACCATGAGTGTGCCTATATTTCAAAGCCACTGAATGCATTTGATATTTTAATCATTACAACAGAGTCTCACTGCCTTCTCAGCATGTTCTGTTTTATTTAAAGTCCATGCATCTCTGAGTGCTAGCATTTTTTGTCAGTGACTGTAATTAACGGCTTCAAATACAAATCACTGGCATCACAGATGATACTTTTACTCTTAATAGACGTTGGAACATTATTAATAATGCTTCTTTCCCACATTTTCTTTTTTTAAAGACTGTACATTATTATTCAATATTATATGCAATGAATGTGTCTAAGTCACTGAAATATACTGTATATGTATTTTTTCATTACTCTTTCACCTTGTGCAACCAGTTTCTGTATAAGTGTTGGCTTTGTAGTTTTGTTCTAAATGATGAGTTTTTGACAATCTCTTCTGTTTTTTTTCCTTTTCAGTTGTTGCTGCTATAAAACAACATAATAAAAAACATTTTTTGCTGCTCACCCTGGTAGACAATGTGGAAACCAGGCTTGTTCTGGGAATAGTCACTGTGGAAGAAGAGAGTGGTCTCGTGGGTGGTGCTGAAGAGAGAATTGGGTACCGCAGGGCCGCTGAACCGATCAATCACTGTTCCTGTCTCCAGAGTCCCACTGCGCACCTCCAAATAGTCATGAACAGGCTCTGTGGAGAAGTTTAGAAACTGCAGATGGATCCCTGAAGTGCAGAGAGAAAGATTTAAAATCCAAATGAGTGATTGTGTAGTTTTTTTTTTTTTTTTAACGATACTGCACTGTGTAGGCCAACATTTCTGTAAAACTGGAAAGCTATTTCTGACTAGACCATAAGCATAAATGTCAGTGACCAAATGATGAAGTCACACCATTGGTCAGCCAACCAAGTGCAGAGGTTTTCCCAGTGGCGGTTGGACTTTTAAAAATATAATCATGTTTGAGCTTTCATAAAGGATTTAAGGGCAAAATAAAGGGCTTGACAAGGGAGGTGACATTTCCTCTCCAGTCATTTCCAAAGGAATTTGGGTGATGAGGCAACAATCGCTTGCCCTCTTCGAGCCAATCGACTAGGGAAACTTGTTCATGTTACTGTACATTTCAAGCTTGTACACATAGATGTGCACATGTGAGCTTGCAATGTTTGTGAGTAAGTAAGTAAGTAAGTAAGTAAGTAAGTAAGTGAGTGAGTAAGTAAGTAAGTAAGTAAGTAAGTAAGTAAGTGAGTGAGTAAGTAAGTAAGTAAATAAGTTTTATTTATAAAGCGCCTTTCACAGAAATATATTCAAAGGGGGGCTGTACAATCATTAACAGTATAAGAATGGTGAAAAGAATAAAATGAAACAGAAAAACATAATTACACATAAGCAACAAAAATTGAAAACATCAATGTGACACAATGTGACAAATAAAAGTTGGAAAAACGTTCAGCTTTCGTTGCTGAGGTTTTCATCAACTGACCAATGAATAGAGATTATTTAGCCACTACTTTCAACAATTTTTTTAGCTGCATCAAATTCTACAATTTTATATATAAAATTGGACGAAATTGGACAATTTACTCTCCTGGACACATAAAAAAAGCAGCCATATGGGATTTTGCTTGCGCCAAGGTGAGGTTGTCCAGTAAGTTTTTTTTTCTCCATAAAGTTGTATCTTAGTGTGAAATTGTTTGTCAATACCATTAGCATTGCAAGATTTGTTTAGTTTGTACAGTGGTAATACACACTATTCACTATTTTTTGCCACTCACAATAACCTCTACAAGTAGAAGAACCAATCAAATATCTTGGAGACGATTGACCTGAGAGCGTGATTTACATCACAGCTATCGTTATATGGAGGTGTGTTGGGTTTCACCCTGACTGCAATGACATCTATTTGTCACTCTCCTCTGTCACTCCCAGGGGGTTAAGCCCATACAGTATACAGTAATTACCGTATTAATACATACATTTTTGTACGACAATAAGTGATGAAGCCATATAAGATTTTATTTTGTCTCATTTTAAACGCAGCAAAGAAGAGCAGAGATGAGAGGAAATTTGGACAAGAAAAAAAAACTAAATCAGGCCATGAGACATAAAAGCTAAAAAAAGGCAAAAGAAAAGGACGAGAAAAACAGAAGGCGTGGGCTACCCACCAAAGCCGACTGGGAGCTGAACTCTCCAGGTGCAGTCCAGGCTGCTCTGGTAATTCCCTGGAAAGCCTGGGCTGAGGATGACGCTGCTGAAATCTGTCATAGAGCCCCCACACTGAGCTGAGGGAGACCAACCGAGGAGAAAGAACGTCACTTCTCCACAGCGTGGCTCGATAGGAAAACAAAGAAAAACAACAACTAGGAGGCTGAATGTGGAAGAAGGGCAAAGAGCATATTATCTATATGTGTGTGCATGTTCTAGTGCAAGAAAACAGCTGAGTATTTGTGCAATGACGAGGAAGTAGCTGATTATGCACGAGCTTGCCAAATTTGCAAGCTCTTCATACACTTGTGCTCATATTTAGTTTGCGCTTGTTTTGTTTATCTGAGCATGTCTTTGACTTGTGCTTGTACTTCTCCTCTTGACTGGGTGGATGATGCTCCATAAGGGCGTTCATGCAAACATAGCAGACTTTTAAGCACATTCCTTGTTTGATGGTGCCTTAAATCATAATAAATGAGGGAGTCAATATTCAACACACTCTTTTGCTCAGTGGTGGAAGTGATTGCTTCACCCTCTCCGCCTGCCTCTTTTATTTGACTGTGCGTTCAAAAACACTTCAGCTTGCTGTGAAGGTTACATACTTCTCCCACTCCTGTGACACATACCTCGTCTTACAAGAACAGCCAGGTCTCTAGATCATTCCCCTGTATTGCTGACGTTTCTTAAGGGAGCATGAACCAAGACCAGAATGAGGGAAAAAACTAATAAAAGGGAAAATAAATAAATAAAAAGACGACATTTCGCTAGTGGTGGTATCCTGCTTGACCTACTTGTTTTGTGAAATAAAAGAAAAAAGTAGGCAGTGAGGCACTTTCAAGGACTGTTTGTTCGGGGGCACGCAGCCACTTTGATGTGGGTTCATAAGCAACAAAGTGAATACAAATCCTGGGGAATTCAAGTGAGTTTATGTGCACAAAACAAGCAAGGAGTTAAACTAACTACGGACCATGCAGACTCAAGAACACAGCTGTCAGTAAACAGTAAAGCTGGGATTTCTGTCCATGGTTAATTTGAGACCATTTACACTGAAAAAAAATGCGTACAACTACAGGAAGGACGTCGACACTGACTGAGTGTGTTTGTGTTCATGAGAAGGGTAAAAACACAAGGAGGTATTTCCAAAGAAAGTACAGCGCTTTCTTAGTAATCTTTAGACTGGATCACCATGGCAAACATCAAAGAGAGTATCAGGGAGTCTGCAGTCTCTAATCAGAGGGATCAGGAATCAAACAACAAATTGAGATGATGAGAAATCCTCTATTGATTTGCAACAGATGCGGAGAGCAGAAAATTCATAATACCTATCTCAAAGCTCTCCACAAACAACCATCATCCCTCACCCCTGCACTACAATGAAATTGTTGCTCTCCTTAATGCAATATAAATCCACTTTTCAGAGCTTTGATCTTTTTATGTGACTATGTCTGAGTCAAACTTTGGTGAGACACATTTCTAAATATGGAAAAAGGAAAGGCAACGGGAACGGCTGAATGGCCAAAATAAAAAGGAGCGAGACCAAATCTGTGTTTGACGCTACAAATGGGGTATTGTCCACATTATCAGCTCACTGAAACTCTGTTCACTACAGTATTAAGGAGAAACATTACCTATACACAGAGGTACGGGGTAATTCCATCTCCTGACGGGGCCAGGCATGCAGGTAATATATGCATTACCCTGTTCAAGAGGACAAACAAAACAATTTGTCAAGTACTTTACAGACATTGTACTGTAAAAACAAAGAACACAACACAATAAGCAATAATATACATATTTAGATTTTGTAAAGTCTTTTTTTTCCTAGTGTGTAAGTAATTGTTAAACACAGGAGATAAAAAGCATTTTGATGTTATGAAGACAGACAAATCTATCCAAATGTGAGTTTAAATATAAAAAGCAGTCTTGTTTTGTCAGAAATTCACAGTTCAGTTTTTACAGCAGTACACATAAACATAAAATGCAACATGAACTCTAACAACAAAACTTGAAAGCCAATGCACGGACACAGAAATGCATAACACTCATTCGCGCAACTTATCTCGAAAGACTCAACAATATTAGTGCTTCTGTTTCAACAATGGCCTCAAGTCTATCCCTGGTTCAGACACTCAGCCTGAAGATGTGTGTAAGAAGTTGCTGGCTGGTCCAGAGAGGAATGTGAAAAGAAATGAATGCCTGAGCCAGGAAGAAAAATCAGTGTGGGATTAGTGAGGCGACTGTTAACACAATCCATCGCCTGTGGCCTTGGAAGGTTCTACAGCTCTAACGCTCCTGCTATAGTGTCAACTGAAGGAGGATTGCAAAACGGAAAAGCTCTTTTGTGACAGACACACACTAGCCATACACTCCAGTCTAAGACCCAAGCAGAAATATAATAAAACTGAAGATTAAAATGTCATAAAACATAAAGGTACAAACATAGTGGAAATTAGGCTTGAGCGGTATGATGGTATTTTGGTATACCTTCGGTTTACCTTGGTATACCAAAATAGTGATGGCATTTAAAATGTTGACAGTGTGTTAAGCATGTGCAGTGATATATTCTGACTGTATCAGTCCATTCAGAAGACATATGGAGGTGGAGAGCAGGGGCAGAGACAGAGACACCCCTGTCTGTTGCACCTCTTTACCTCCGTGCGAGATAGTGACAGTGAAGGCAGTGTAGTTGAATTGTCCAAGTGACTGATAACATCATGATGTGTTATGCAGTCTAACTGCAGTTGGAATGAATGACCTACGGAAGCGCTCCGTCCTTCAGCGAGGATGTTGAAGTCTCTGACTGAAGGAGCTGTTCAGCCCCCCCACCACCACGGTTTCATGCAGAGGGTGGTGGGGGTTGTCCAAGATGGCTGTCAGCTTTGCTAACATCCTCCTCTCACCCACCACTACCACAGGCTCCAGAGGACATCCCAGCACAGAGCTTGACCTCCATATCAGTTTGTCCATCCTGTTCCTGTCCCTTTCAGTACATCCAGCCCCCAGCAGACCACTCCATAGAAAAGGGCAGATGCTACCATCATGTCGTTGAATGTCTTTAACAGAGTCCTGCAGACACCGAAGGACTTCAGCCTCCTCAGTAGGTGGAGTCGACTCTGGCCCTTCTTATACAGGACATCTGTGTTTGTAGTCCAGTCCAGCTTGTTGTTGAGGTGAACACCCAGGTATTTGTAAGAGTCCACTGTCTCAATGTATTTTTCCCTGGATGTTCACTGGTGCTGTAGGGAGTGACTTCCTCCTGAGGTCTTTTTTCCATGTCTCTCTTGATAACACACTGATAAATGTTCTTTGGAGGTAAGTTTGAGTGTGGTAACAGACCGTCTCTCTCTGTGACTACCAGAGGGAGTGTCAACAAGTCATAGGCTGTTCGGCCATTTAGTGGTGAAAGGCCCACATTTCACAATGAATGATATTTAAAGCCAAATCACATGCATGTGTATGTTCTGACTTTCAGTTCATGTGGCGTTCACATGCTCATTTATATTTAATCACATTAAGTTTAGAGACTACAGCACATACATTTATAAATAAGATTATCAAAGAGTGAAAAAAAAGAAGGTTGAATTATTTATGGGTCTGAATTTAGCTAAAGATTTAGTCTAACAGTTCCATCATCTCTCTCATTTTTCTTCCATGTTTATACTGTTACTCTGTTCCTCATGTGACAATGTTAACAATTCCATTTCATTTTTTTATACTAGTAGTGGGCACAATTCCGCTCATCCTCTAACCAGAAAATGGTGAAAAGTATATATTTTGTTTTGCATTAACTTTATAAATTAATAACCAACATACCTTCCACTTAAATTGAACTAACTATTGTATTGCCATTGAATGTGTTACAAAATGCATTGCCTCATTGAGGACATAGTGGTCGGTGTTGACTTTCAGAAGCAGCAGCAAAATGTTCAACAAAGCTGAGCTGAAAGACATGCCTTATCCAAAAGTTGCCAGGAGTCGCACGGTGACATCATCTTCAATGTATTTGAATTCTCCTTTTATGTACAGACCAGAACCTCTGACTCATGGTTTTATTTTACAGGCGAAAATAGAGACTTTAATATAATTTTCAAAGAAAACCTGATCAAGAATTAGTCAAGAAAAACCAAAGTCCACACATCAGTCACAGATTTCCTGAAATAATTGCGACATTTAAAATAATTAAACAAATACATACATCTTTGCATTAATCTGGGGCAATACAAACAACTTTTTTAGTGATAGAGTTTAAGAACTGAATTAGCAGAAACACAATTTTTACCGGCTATAATTTTCCTAAGCTTTTTCCCCCTTCAATGTCCATTTTCTGTTCTGTTAGCTCCGCCTCCTGCTTATATCATAAAACATAGCAGCCATTACCCAGCATGCAACACATTGTGATGTAGTTCCCCATTCTCTATTTAATCAAATTTCACTTCTAAAAGAGACATGCATGTTTATAGATCTATGAACCTTTTTGATTTGTGTTGACTTACATTTGTCACACTACACATTTAGATTTGGTTTGATATCTGTTAAAATTTAGTTATTATCTGTAAAACTGCTCCATGACTGAAAAGTCTTAGGCAGGGAAATAGTGAGGGGAGGTGAACGCTAACATTGAGTAAATGTTCAAAAATATAAACTGAGGGCAGTTACCTTATGATGGACTAGACGTCACTTTGTTAGATATAGTATTAGCAGTTTCCACCAAGTTTCTATTTATTTAGCTTTTTATCATTAGTGGAACTAAGATGTGAATGTGTGTGTGTAGTGATTTAGGTATTAGTGAAGCTAATATTTTGATTAGTGGTGCCAATCACTGCTTAATGTGTAGTTTTATAACAGCAAAAGGTTAGAAAATTAGCATAATCTGATCCGTCACACCATAAGCAAAACAGCAAAGTTAAATTCAAAATGTGCCGAGCGCCGAGCTAATACATAAGGCAAAATAGCGTCTGCGCTAGCGTGAAGGCTAACAGGCTAAGCTGAGGTTCTTCTTCCATGAAGCAGCTCTGTTGTCCTCCATCTATATTTTCAGTTACAGGCTGAGTCATTTCTACCTTCTCCTCCGTGTCAGCGCCCTCTGGTTTCATTTAAAAGAGATCAGATATTACATATATACATAT